TACATGGTGACAGCAGGCATGCAGAACTGCTTCCCCACCCCACATGGGGCATAATTGTATTTTCAGAGAGGGCCGATCTATTAGCAAGGTGCCAGTCTCAACTGTGTAGCTTTTAAAGGGAAACACTAAAGGCCTCTTGGGGTGAAAGATATTATAATTATAGATGATTTATACTCCCTAGCTAATGTATACATTGCACTTTATGAGAATGTTCTATTTGACGTGGCCAGAAACATTAAGCACAAATAGTACTGTGGCCTGGCTTAGAAATCCATCTTTTGTTTTATGTCTAATCTATCCAATGCTAAAATATTTGGAATGATATCTCTGCATGCTGCTGGGAAGGAAATGTGAATATAATAAGTGAATTTCTGATCAGACCAGATCATAATTTCCTTCTAAACTACCTTGCTGAGTTTAGCATATTTATTCCACGGTGGGATGTTTGCTGCATGTTTTGGTACAAATGTAAAAAAAAAAAATCATAATCACAATTTTAGAGATGGAAGGGACCTTAGTGGTATTTATTCCAGGGTGTCCCAACTCAAATTACAAGCTCCACTGGTAGATGATCTGACTTTGTAATGATCCAGGATCCAGAAGTGAGGGGTGATGGGAGAAGAGAAGGGAGATGAGGAAGCAGAAAAATGGGGAAGCACTTGAAGTAAGGATAGGAACAGAGGTAGTCACGGTTGTGAACCTCACCTCCACCTACTTCCTGGGCAGCTTTTGATAAGTGAAAGAACCTCTCTGAAATTCAGTGTCTGCTCTGAGAAGAAGAGGATCCAAGCGCTTTTGCTTCACCTGATTTTTAAGGCAATAAACAGGCAGCAGTGCTTATCATTTATCTCTAGGGTAGTGGCATTACCAAGCAGGAAGGTGGCCCAGGGTGGTGACTTCAGATTTGCACAAATAGAGATGAAGATTCCAGAGTATTCTTCAGCTGACCAATATGTGAAAACTAGTCTTCGGACCTTTCTTAAGGTCACTCGGCTAATTAGTAACTGGAGTTCAAAGCAAGATATAGAATGAGTATCTGTTTTTAATTTATATTTAAGTAGAAAATCTGTAGGGCATTTTGGTCTCTACTCTTACTGTTCATCTTTTGTCCTGGCCCCTGTTTGGGACTTCCTCCTACCAAAATACAGTGCATGGTGGAGGTCACACTTGGCCACTAAGACCATCTAATGAAATGAAAGTATGGCATTGCACCAGAAATAGAATTTCTGAACCTCTAATGTGATAGAGATCTTGAATAGAAATTCTAAAATTCCTTTGTCCTTAATTGGCCTCCCATTTGGGATCTTCATCTATTTTTCCATTTCTGCCTCCCTCTTCCTTAAACCTGAAAGGAAATGAGTCAGTAGAAATACCCTGTTGCAAAGGAAGATCGATGAAAATAATGTTCATTTTCCTAAGTTCCTTCTCCTGAAATGAAAATCAGAGGGAGTTGACATATGTTCCCTCCCTGGACTCTGCCCCCCAGTGAGAGCTCAGTTACTGCCCTCTTGGCTGCTGGCTGAAGTCAGGAGTATTTACTGTTGGGGGAACAGACGCCCACACACACTGCTTCAGTGGGAACGTCAACATCCTGTATGGAATGATTTCAGATCCTGTACGTTCCCCTCCTCCCTGGATCCCAGCAGCAGACATTTAGCTGCCTTTTACAGAGGAGCACCCCAGGGGAAGGCTTCTGCCTTTGTCAGGGGTGCTGGAAAGTTACCAGGAAGGAAGGAAGGAAGGAAAGAAGGAAGGAAGCTAAGGCTAGTCCAAAAAGGGACCCAAGAGTCCTAGACATCTCTAGGGTACTATTCTTCATGTAAATCTCAGGAGACCCCACGAAGAGAGCCGCTTAGGAATTTGTTAAAAATGCACATTTTCAGACTCCAACCAAGACCCTGAATCTAACCATCTGGGCTTGGAACCAGGGTAGCTGAATTTTTGACAAATCTACCAGGTGTTCCTGGTGCCTGGTACCATTTTTTAGAACTATGACTGTAGAAAGAGTTCCTAAGTGCAAGCTAAAATCCTTTTAAACACGATCAAATTACTTGTTAATTAAACAAATGTCTGTATGGACCCCAATTCATAACTTTCAAGTTGCAATTCCCTCCCTATGTCCAGAGGCACTGTTTAATGAATGAGTTACCAAGGACATAAAACTGAATTATTTATTTATTTTTCCCAGCTCTCTTCCCCTTCTCAGTGAAAATGTGGCTGCTTATCTCTGAGAACCCTACCCAGTGGGCAGATCTGTGGCCTTTAAAGAGACAAAGATCGCTCCCTGCCCTCCACATGCAGAGCACATGAAGGAGAGATTTTACATTTATATCATGATTAATCATTAATTCCAGGCACAGAAATATGCTTGGGCATGGAGCACATGTATTCTCAGTCAATACACAAGTATTTGCAGTTTAATAAATGCGGGCTTAGCCTACATTAAGTAAAAGATGGCGAAGAAAGAGAAAGACTGGGTGGAAGGGAAGGGAGGGTACTCCCAATGGGTAGAAGGGGGTCCATAACATCTATCCATTTATTAACAACAGATAATGTTTGTTAAGCAATTCCCATTTATCATAGTAACTACATATATTAATTCCTCCAAATTAATTTCTTCAAAACAGCTCTGTGAGTTATGTACTACTCTTGCCTATATTTTATAGACTTAAAAAAAATCGTGAAGCTCATAATTATTTTAGTAAACTTCTCAGCACACACCCTTATTAGCTATAGACCTGAGATTGGAAGGATGGAGTGGAAGTCTAAAACTTCCTCTCCTTAACACTTCTCTGTAATTTATGTGCTATGAAGCTCGTAAAAGAAACATTGTTATCTTTCATAAACGATTGAATATTCTTCCAATTTTATTATCAAGGGCAAATGGAAATCTGTATTGACCATAGATCTATAAAACATCATGACTTTGAGTCATAATGTGCATTATAGATGAGGAGAACTCCCTAGAGACCGAGTGACTTGGTCAGGACCATCTCTGACTTGGCCATGATGTGTTCTTAGTTTTCTGCATAAAGCTAGAGTCCTTGCTACCATCTCTCTTGCTTCTTTGAGGAATAAATATTTGAGCTTGTCTTTAAAAATTAAGACATGTCCTAAAGGTTAATAAAGCAACACAGTATTAGAGACTCCTTCCCTAAGGCTCCCATATTCCACCAATTAAGTGGCCTGAAATAATAGGAATGTATTCCACTGCCATTTGGAGATCTAGGGGTCCTAAATCAGGGTATGAGAGCAGTTCATTCCTTCTGCAGGTTTTGAAGAGGAATCTGTTTCTGAACTCTCACTTTCAGTGGCCCCTGGCCACTGCTTCTTTGTGCTGTGGCTGCATTACGCCAGGCACTCCCTGTGTCACCACCTGGCCTTCTCTTCCATGTCCATGTGTGTCCTCTCATCTTCTTTTAGGACAATAGCTACTGCATTTAGGGCTCACTTTAAATCCTGGATGATTGCATTTTGAGATCCTTAACTAACACCTGCCCAGTATTCATTTGTAAATAAGGTCATATCCTCACATATCCAGATTAGAATCTGGACATGCCTTTTTGGAGAACATTGTCCTACCCTGTAAATAATCAGAGAACGGACTGTAGGGTTGCTGGAAGAGTTTTCCCTTCTGGGAGCACAGTGCAGTGTAAAAGAGGTTGTGCTGCAGCGTATAGACTTCGGAGCTCAGCAGACCTTGTTCAGATTTCAGTGCTATTCAGTAACTGTGTGACCTTGGAGAAGTTTCCCAAAGAACCCAAGTTGCCACTTCTCCATTTAGGAAATGATAATGATAATCGTGATGTAACCACATGTAAATGCACGACTGTTCAGCTCTGTGTTACAAATTGCCATACATTTGGCTGCTTCAAATAGCACACTGTGGGTGCAGAGTTTGATATAGTTCAGCTATGTCTTTATTCAGGGTCTCACTAGGCTGCAGTGAAGGTGTCGAGTGGGCTGTGTCCTCCTCTGAGTCTCAGCTGAAGATGGGCATGCTTTCAGATCCATTTGGATTGTCGGCACAAGTTTTTCCTGTGTCTGTGAGACTGAGGTTCTGGATTCAAGCTGGCTGTTGGCTAACTTTCAGCTCCCAGAGGCCACTCAGGGTCTTTTGCTGAGACTGGCCTTTTCCATTGTCTCACTTAGAAAGTGTCATTTTGTTTCTGCAAACCCAATAATAGGGAAGCAATTTACACATACATGTATAACCACCTTGTACCTTTGCATCACCTTTGCTATATTCTGTTGATTTTGATCAAGTCCCAAGTCTGCCCATACTCTAGAGAAAGCCATTATACAAGGACAAAGACATCAGCTACCAAGGATCATTGAGGGTCATCTTAGAGTCTGCACACCATTATAAAATTGTATGAATTATAATATGCACAAAGTTCTTAGCACCATGCCTAATTCTTAGTAGAATGAATTTAAATTTACTATTAACCAGAAGTTCTCCTTTATGTCCGGGTTAATCAGTGCTCTACTTTCAGGCTGGGCTCCTGTCCTCACACAGGCTGTGCCCTGGGCAACTCCAGGGAACTCTGACACGGGGAACAGGAAGTGAGTAGAACCTACAGGGTATGAACGATTCAGTGTTTCTTGCTGAGATGAGGATGAGGATGTCAAGGTACTAGAATAGACTCTTAAAAGATTTGAGTATCCCGCATTAATATATGTTTAAGTGGTTTAGAAATTGGAACGCAACAGCCCTTGGTTCAACTTGCTTGGTGATAGTGATCCACGCCCCTTGGTGCTGCTCTGTGCACACCAACCTCGAGCATGGCAGCTGTCCAGCCTAGCCCAGTGGCTGCCTCCTGGGCTGTCTGCAGTGAGCACTTGCAGACAGGAACGCCTCTTCCTGAGACCCAGAGTGTTTGCCAGTCTTCTTGCTTATGTTCCCAGCAGTATTTTTCCACAATTAACACCCTTCATTTCCCTGTGCCTTTATTTTGATTCCTAGGAAAGAGTTGACTTGTTTTTCAAGGAGCACAGCATTCTTCATAATTCTTTTATTTTCTGACTGTTGAATGTGAATGATGCAGTCACTCTATGCCAGGTGAGCGTCAGGTCAACTATGGTATGGTTGTACTTCAGGTACTTGGGCCATATCTTAAGCTTCTTAGCATACACTACTCCAAATTTCCAAAAGTTGTCCAGGATGGTAAAAGCATCCTCCAGTAGCTTCCCTGTTGTATGGTCATCGATCCTGGGTCATGATAGATCAAGAAGCCTGCATTCTTCTGTTCTTAGCTGTGTTGGAGACATAGCAAAGCACCAGAAGAGCTATCACTTTCATTTTTAGTTGCAACCCCTAGCATAAATAAAAGGCCTGTCCTTGCAGCCATGGTTACTGCTTATGGCTAAGCCCTCACACCAAAATCAGAGGAATTAAAGAGAATTGAACAAACAAGGTCTTTATAAGTCTATGTGCATTTTATAAGCACATTACAGACAGCATAGGGCCTTGGGCTATCAAAAACACATATTATCACCCCAGGCCTGGAGGGCAAGAAGAGAAAGTGATTCTTAGAACTGAGGAGATAAGAAATCAGCTGGTCCAAGATGAACCTTGAAATAAATACCCTGTCCCCTTCCTTTTTTCCCTGCAGCCATGCGTCTGACCTCTCTTTTGGCTCAACCTAGCTGAATGCTAGGAGGTATGATATCCTAAAGATGCTGTCTGCTGGGCATCCTCCAGGACAGATCAGCGAGGAGAAGGATCGACGATGAATCAGCAGGGGTGCATGAACTACACATGCTCTACCCTTCTGTCCTATGCAGTGCTTCTGTCATCCTTTTGAACAATAGGTGCCCAGGGAAGCATGCATTCAACTAGGCATCACAGGCTGGTAGCTTAGAACCCTGCTCTGGATTGAAATAAAGGTTCTGCCAAAGACATAAAACTGAATTATTTATTTATTTTTCCCAGCTTTCTTACTAGCCAAAGTACTTTAGATAGGGGACATCACCTCTCTGAGCCTCTATTTACTCACTTACAAAACAGTGTAATGCAAGCATCTACCTCTGGGCCTTATTAGGGTGCATTTTTCATCCTCAACTTCCTTCCTTATATGAGCTTTTTCCATATCACTTCCCTTCTATGAGGGGATATATTGACTTATTTCCTATCTCAGCTTTTCTTCTGTCCAGTGTAGAATGTAAGTTTCATGAGAGCAGGGCTTTGGGTTTAACACACTGACAATCTCCAGGGGGTAAGAGCAATTGCTGGCACTGAATAGGCACCCAGTGAATATTAATCCCTTAATTTGGGGTCTAGGTTGTGTTAAAAGCTCGACATTTGACCAGGTAGTTGGTAGTATATATGTCAAGCCTGGTTTTAAATGTACAAATAGAAACAGCCAAGCAAAGACTGGAAGTGACTCAATTAGGAATAGGTTTGGAAATGGGAATAAAACAAGCCCAGTGAAATTATTTTTGGAGAGTTCTTAATGGGGAACCATAAAACATCTACAACTGTATTTCTCCAAAGAATTTGTTTTGTTTTCTGTTTATTTATTTTTGCATGAATGACCTAAAGTCATCCTTAGTATGACCTAAAGTCATAGTCCTGGGGAAACGTTACAACTGTTAGACCTCTCCACTTGGCCTGCATTCCAAATTGACAGTTGCTAGGGGTTCAACGCACTGACTTCTGCATTGCAGGAGTCCTTATGTGCAGGGTTTCTGCTGAGATCCACATCAGACAATGTGTCAGGATGTCCCCAGGTCCACTGTGGGTATGTGGAGCAGCAGGTTGATGTAGTTGGTGACATTATCAATAGCCTGATAGACTCTGGCCGTGGAGGTGTTCTGGAAAATTGGAAGAGACCTCCTAAGGTCAGGTTGTCTTCTCTCCCAGGGAGTCAGGGCTTCCTTTTGTCCTGAAGGTGTGGGACAGCTGTGCATAATGAAAGTAAACTTAGCACTTAGCTCTTTTTCCCTTTAGAAACTAGTACAGAATGATACACATCTCGGGGTGTCAACTTCTAAATGTTTCTCTTGGGTAAAAGTAGCTTTGCAATAGAGATCTTTCTGTCCCTTGCAGATACAAAATAAAATAAATCGATAAATAAATAAAAACCCATATAGTTCTTTTTTGTTTTTATTTCCATTTAGAGTTCTCCTCACAGGTATTCCCCAAGGTGTGTTCATCTGCAGCTATTTCTGTTGATACTGTGATGTATTTGTTCCCTCCAGCTTCCCTAGGTCTCTGGCAGAGACTTTGAGGCTTTTCAAACCCTGACTAATCCACCACCCACTGTTATTAACCCTCCATTACCTAAATCTACACACCTTTCTCTTCTTCTCCCTGTGGGTCTCTAACTGGGGTTTATATGGGCATCATTTGGGGGTATGATGAGCCACACTCTCAGAATATTTGACTTCTTGGATCTGAGTAGGGCTCAAGATTCTTCATTTTTATCAAATACCTAGCTGTGGTGCTTGTGTGGTGGTGGCCTGTTTTCCTATAATCCTAGCGCTTCAGGAGGCTGAGGCAAGAAGACTGCACCTTTAATACCACCCTGGGCAAGTTAATGAGACCATATCTTGAAATGCAAAAAAAAATAAAAATAACTGCAGGAGGCTGAGGCCAGAGAATTGCAAGTTCCACACTAGCCTAGGCAACTTAGCAAATTATCAAGACCCTATTTCAAAATAAAAAGGGGAGTACAATTTAGTACAGTATGAAGGCCCTGGACTCAATACCCAGTATTAAGGAAAACATAGGAAGAAAAAAGTAATCTCCAGGTGCATCTTAGGCACATACTTTATAATCATGCCTTAACCAAAACAAACACCTTCTGAACAGCCTTTATTAACTGGGCAATGATTCTGAAAAAATTTTTCTTTTTATTTTTTGTATGAATAGTCTATGACTACACCTTTCTTTCATTTATTTTCTTCTGCTATGTTCATTGCTGTGACCTTAATACCTAAAACAGTGCGTGATATACAGTAAGGGCTTAATAAATGGTTGATGTCTGTTAAAAAATAATTGTGATGATGTCACCATCTCCTGCTTCCCTAAACTTATCTGTAAAATCAGTGCCTACAGCCTGGATGAAGTCTAATACCTAGCTTGCTGAACTGAACCATTTGCGGGGCTCAGAAACCTAACACCAAAGGAATTAAAACATGCAGATCTCACCAGATCATTTCTGGGTGTGAAATAATAGTACCAAATATGTGAGTTGCAATTTCCTAAATGGTTGCTGCTCTGCTGCTGTAGCCTTCCACCAGACCTGACCTGCTCTAGATGCTGCTTTCCCTGACTTTGCTTGAACTCTCAGTGGACTGGGAGCTATTGCTTGACATGGATTCCTTTTGGTCTCCCTTCAACAGAAGGCATAATTCTTGGAGCGTGTGATTAGGGTTCTCAGCACTGGCTGCACATTGATGTTGGGTGGGAATGTTTGAAAAGAGTGATGCCTGGTTTACTCTCCCCTCAAGGTTCTGATTTAATTGGTCTGGAGGTGGGGGGAGATTCCTGGACATCAGAATTTTTAAAAGGTCACCGTCAGGGTTGTGAACCTTTACACTGGAAGTAGCCTGGATTGAGAGGGAGAAAACAGAAAAAGAGCATTCTGCTTTCTGGAGCCAGCAAATGGCACTTGGAGAGCAGAGGTGGAGCAGGATAATGAAAGGGTGAGCTGGCAGCTTGGAGCTCAGGTCACGCCTGAGGAGAGAGCCTTGAACTCAGAAGCAAGTTTCCTTTCGTGTGTTAATTATGCACTCTCTTATCTTCCTTAATCATTTAATCTGGGGTAACTTTGTTGGCCCAGAGAGATTATAAATTCCTTGGGATCAGTGATGTGTTGGACAGTTACCCTGTATCTCCCATGATTGTATTCATGTGGGATTCTTCAAAAATAACCCTCAAACAATTAGGGAACCATGAGGTCAGAATGGTAAGCAAAATATTAAAAGGGATGTCAGTCAGTCATAGGATGTGTGTGTGTGTGTGTGTGTGTCTGCGTGTGGTGTTTTGTTGATTCACATTATCTGCTTCTTTTCACTATTATTAGAACATACATACACACACAGAAGGAACAACACACACAAAAATCGGCTTCTTCCCACCACCACCACCATTGTCACAACAGAAACTTAGAGATGGAGCCCAGTACAGTATCAGTTGTCAAATATCTGAGCAGCCAGTCTCAAAAGCAGATGTCACCTCCTGTGGCTGGGACGGGGAGAGGTTCGTGGTGTGGGGGGTATTCAGGCACAGGCGTGCTTGGGTTCCAAGGGAGCAGACATGAGCCAGTTAGGAAGATGCCCAGAAAGCAGCCTGCTTGCCCCAGTCCCCGGTCTAGTGTTTTATTCACGGGCTGACATTGCAGCTTTTCAATACTGTATTAAACACATTTCTTCTCCTGGACACCCACTACCTTCAGAGCAGACACATCTCACACTCTGAAACCAAGTGTGCTCTTAATGGCTTGGCTCCTAACCTTCATCAGGGAACTAAAAAGAGTGTTTGGAGTTGAATTAAGGATAGGAAGCTCAGAAACTCTGCCTCTTTAGTAACTTGGAGAGGGATTTAGCTCATATTTTTAATTCATAATGTGAATTTAGGTGAGGTCAGAATCCCAATGCGAGCTGCAGTTGTCAAGATGAGATCTACAGCGATATTGATGCATCCACCAGGTAAACAGCAGCCCTCTGGTATATATCAGGAGCATGCTTTTCTGTATTCTAAGCAGTTTTTGACATAGTGTTTTGCTTTATTGCAAACCACAGTGTTTTCAGAAGGCCTAAAAATCCAGTTATAACTATAGCTGTGAGGGAAAAGGTCTGCATGGGGCCAGGGAAATTTAATTTTTAGCTTAAAAAAGACCCACCAAATTCAATTTTTCTCACATTTAGGGATTCTTAGAGTTATATCCAGCTTGCATAACTAGTATATTAGAGAATGTGTTACTACGGGGTTATTTTTTAACACATTTATTATTTATGAAATGCAGAGGAAAATAGTTAGAAATGATTGTTTCAGGGAATATCCTGTAGCTTTTTTTATTGTATTCAAAGAAGTTGCTCATGCTGTTTTAATTCAAACATTAAAAGTTAAATCTCTTTTCATCCCACCCTACATTTTTAAAATGCTGCTTTAGCCCTTATTGTGGGAAACAGAGAATGCACAGAAGGAAAAACGCCCACTGTGTGTTTCCAGCCCATCCTTTGTTGAGAATCAGAATATTTCTCGCCAACCTGTCCAGGAGGAAACAAGAGAAAAGAGAGTAAGACCT